TGATTCTGTTGTAATGTCACCATTTCATTTCTTATTTTGGTTATTTACATGTTATCATTTTTTTCCATTGTCAATTTCGGCAGTGGTTTGTCAACTTTATTGATCCTCTCAAAGAATCAACTTCTACTTTTGTTGATTCTTTCTATTGTTTTTCTATTTATTTCTGCTCTGATCTTTATTATTCTCTTTCTTCTGGTGATTGTGGACTTCTTTTATTGTTCCTTTTCTATTTAAGTTTTCAGGCTAAGTTATTGATTTTGGACCTTTTTTCTTTTTTGATGTGTGTATTTATTGCTATAAATTTTCCTCTGAGCACTGCTTTTGCTGTGTCCCAGAGGTTTTAGTACGCTGTACTTTCATTCATGTTTGATTCTAAAAATTTTTTTACTTCATTTTTAATTTATTCTTTGACCCAATAGTTTTTAAGTAAGGTGTTATTCAGTTTCCATGTATTTAATTTCTTTTTCTTTGTTCTTCCTGTTATTGATTTCTAGTTTTATAGTATTATGGTCAGAGAAGATGCTTTGTATTATGTTGATGTTTTTGAATTTATTGCGGCTTGCTTTGTGGCCTAGAATATGGTCTGTTCTGGAGAATGCTCCATGTGCATTGGAGAAGAATGTGTGCTGTGCTGCTGTTGGGTAGTGTGTTCTTTGTATGTCTATGAGTTTGAATTGGTTGATTGTGTTATTTAGATCTTCTGTATCTTGATTGAGTTTCTTTCTAGTTGTTCTGTCCATCGTCAAAAGTAGTGTGTTAAAGTCTCCTACTATTATTGTAGAACTGTCTATTTCTCTTTTCAATTCTGTTAGAGTTTGCTTTATGTTTTTTGGAGCTCTGGCATTGGGTGCATAAATATTTATTATTGTCATCTGTTCTTGGAGCATTGACCCTTTAATCACTATGTAATGCTCTTCTTTGTTTCTTATAATGGATTTTGACCTAAAGTCTATTTTATCTGAAATTATTATTGCTGCTCCTGCTCTCTTTTGGTTACTGTTTGCTTTATATATATATATATATATATTTGCATCCTTTGATTTTTAACTTATGTTTTTGTGTCTAAGGTGTGTCTCTTGTAGGCAACATATTGGTGGGTCATGATTTTTTAATCTATTCTGCCACCCTCTGTCTCTTAACTGATGCATTTAATTCATTTACTTTCAGTGTGATTAACAATAGGTATGAATTCATTGCTGTCATTTTGTTATACTTTTTTGTGGTTTTGACAGTTTCTTTGTTCCTTTTAATTTTTTTGTGCCGAGTTCTTTTTGTATATGAATTTTCTTTTCCTATCAATCATTGTTATTTTTGTGTTTACTGAGTCTTTTGATTTATTATTGTTTATTTTGGTGAGTATATTTATTAATTTTCTTTGTGGTTACCGTTAAGTTTACCTTTATCCTTTTAAATTTAAAACAGTCTGTTATAACTTGAAATTGCCTTGACTTCTTCTCCATATAAAAGTTCTATAACTACACCTTTTACTCCCCCTTTTTGTTTTGAAGTTGTCATAGTTAACAGCTTAACACTTCTGGTTCCCTGTAGTCAGTTTTGTGGTTTTATTTTATTTTTGTGAAATCTTTATCTGGGTTAGTATCTGGGTGATGCTGTTGTGTGTCTTTATGTCAGGTTGTTGACCGATGTCATTGGTTCTCTATCTGAAGGGCTCCTTTTAATATGTATTGTAAAGCTTGTGTGGTAGTTACAAATTCCTTTAATTTCTGGTAATATCTTAGTTTGGCCATTGTTGTTGAAAGACAATTTTGCTGGATATCTGATTCTTGGTTTGCAGTTTTCTTTCAGGATTTGTATGTGTCATCCCATTGCCTTCTTGCCTGCATGGTTTTTGATGAGGCATCAGCGTTTAGTCTTATTGGTGCCCCTTTGTAAGTGATATTTTGTTTTTCATGAACTGCTTTCAGAATTCTTTGTCTTTGGTTTTGGAAAGTTTGATGATGATATGTCTTGGTGAACATCTTTTGGGGTCTAGTTTGTATGAGGTTCCTTGGGCTTCTTGGATGGAAATTTTCTCATCTTCCATGATATTTGGGAAGTTTCCTGCCAATTTATCTTCAAAAAATTTTCTCTGTAGTGTTTTTTCTCTTTTGAAATTCCTATTGTGGTAAATTATTCCTCTTGATGGTGTCCCACATAACTCTTAGGCTTTCTTCATTTTTCTTCATTCATATTTCTGGTTGTTCCTCAAACAAATGAGTATCAAGGGATTTGCCCTCTATTTCACTGGTTATTTCTTCTATTGATTAAGTTCTACTTCTGTGTTCTTCTATTGTGTTATCTATTTCTGATCTTTTATTGTTAATCTTCTGTATTTCTAGTTGTTGCTTTTGTATGGTTTCTGTATATTGAGTTTGTCATTTTGTTCTTGTCTTGTTTTCCTGAATTCTTCTAGGTTTTCTTCTGTGTTTTCCTTGATCTATTTGAGGATCCTAAATATGGTTTTTGAACTCCTTCTCAGGTAGTTCTATTATCATTTCTTCCTAAAGAAGCCTTTCTTTCCCTTTATTTTGCTCATGTGTTTGAGCCATCTTATCCTGTTTCTTCATATGTTATTGTCCGCTGTCTCCAAGGCATTAAGATGTTATTTATTTATGTTTTGTCCTGATTTTTTTGTTTTGTTTTGATGTATCAGGGTGGGTGTGGTGAGTATGTGCCACTGATCACCAGTCTGGCAGCATGGGAGTACTTGCCACCTATTGCTGGGTGGGTGGGGCAGTAGACGGGGGCAGGGTGGGGTGGGTGCGCATCACCAATAACTGGGTGGGCAGGGCAGTGGCAGGGGGTGGGTAGGGGTGGGTGTGCATCACTGCCAGTTTGGTGGCAGGGGAGTGCATGCTGCCGCTGGCTGTGGGGGGGGCAGTGGAGGGGGTGATGGGTAGGGCAGGCACACACTGCTGCTGGTCCTTTGGTGTGTGAGTGCATGCTGCTGCTCGCTGGCTGGGTGAGATGGTGGGGAGGGGTGGCAGGCAGGCCAGGCGTGTGCCACTGCCAGTCATCGATCCAGTGGTGTGGGAGGGCGCATTGCCACTCCTTGGATGGGTAGGGCAGTGGGGGGACGGTGGTGGGCAGGGTGAGTGCACGTCATCAGTCATGGGTGGGGCAGGGCTGGCTGGGAGTTATATAGGGGGCTCGTACCACGGTCCCCAGGCAGGTAGGGTGGGGAGGTTGGGGGGGCTCATGCTGCCGGTCACTGGGTGAGGGGGAGGGAGCGTGCTTCTCTGGTCATTGGCAGTGGGTGCTGGCGCACGCCCCACAGGCTGCAGCCAGCCATCAGTACATGGCCCCAACCAAATGTGAAGAGAGGTGCTTGCCCTGAGTCTGGCTGGGTGGGGGACTGCTTGCTGATACTCTATGGATCTACTACTCTGTGGGTGCAACCCACCCTAATGGTCAGGGACCACTGCTGGTGAGTGGTCCTGTCTCTGGTTCCTGGTTCCCTCCCTGCTCTGTGGTTGTCAGGATCCTTGGAGCTCTCACCCGCCTTCCTGTACTTTCCCTTCTTCGATCTGGTTCATGTTCTGTTCACCTTGCTTCACTCTGGGTTTGTCTACAGTTTCTCTGTCTCCTGTTTGGAATTCCTTGAAATTGCCTTCCTGTGCTCATCACCCAGGGTTGCTGCTTGCTTTGTCTCAAGATGGTCATGGTGCAATGGGCCAGCTGGTAGGGCACCTCCAGTCTGTTACTTTTGTTCACTGTTTTCGTTCAGTATCTCCTTCCCATCAGTGTTCGATCTAATTCTTCATCCTGCCTTTTGATGCTCAGGGTTCCAGGATGGTCATCTGTATCTGTTTTACTTGGTTTCTTGGGTCTTTGTTGTAGGGAGACTGCAAGGTGTTATCTAAGCCGCCATCTTGGGTCACCTCTTCAAGGAGCCCACAACTTGAAGTATTTATTTTCTGAACTTCCTTTACCTCTTTACCTGTACTTCTTATGGTACTTTTGGGCAGGGTCTGGACCTGGTTTATTTGGACCTGCTGTATCTCCACATACCAGCTCCCTTAGTAAATCAAGCCCATTTCTCCAAGAGAATCTCCACATGGCCCTGACTCCTGACATGAGACTCAGCTTCCCTGTGGGGATCTAATGCTGAAAACTGCAGCCACCACCAGACAAGGCATTGTAATGACCACCTCCTTGTCCTCACTCTGATCCAAGCCCAGATTCAGTATCTTCTTTTAATTTCCTGTAGCATAGCAAAGAACCAAGCTGGAACATTTAAACAAGGCCTCATCCATAGCTCAGGACAGCAAGACAAAGAAAGTAACAAACCAGGTAACATGGCTCACAAAGTACAGGTTACTTACTTTCAGTGAGGGGCTCCCTACTACATGCTTCCCTGAGAGCCTGGCTTGTCTTCACCTGTTCAAACTGTTTCTGGTCTGGTCTCGGAGCAGTCCCACTCAGAGATTCCACCCTACTCTACCACATGGTTTATCAGTGCCTATCTCTTGCCTTTCTGATCAGGTCCCAGGCCTTTAGATTCCCCTGAGGCTTTTGACCTACTTCTCTCAACACATTTCCCTGGTTGGCTCACCTGCTGAGTTACCTCATGCTGTAGGAGATCCTCTAGCCTCCCTGTTCCCAACTCTGCACTCAGCCTTCACAGTGCATAGCAAACACCATGCATATAGCAGGTACTTAGTAAATATTGGTGCTAGACTTAAATATGGTAAGATCACTTGGGCAGAAAAAAGTAGGTCATTTAAAGATTATAGAGAGAACAGGGAATGGAAAAGCACAGTGATGGCATACTCCTAAAACCTATTCAAAGAAAGTGTCCTCCCACAGAGCAAGATCAGTATGAGAGCGATCAATTAGATTGACCATTTTTTACCATAGCACAATACCCACACTATTAAGCTACTCAAAAGTGGCCTTAAGTGAAAAAACCAAAGTGTGTATATGGTGAAGGAACATGGGGGAGGCATGAAAGAACAAGAAATTTTATATAACTTAAAGAGACAAGGACAAACACTTGGGGTTTTTTAATTATTTATCAGATTAAAAAAGAAAAAATAGTGATTGTTTCTTTTCACCCCCAACATTTCATTTTATCAAGGTAGAGTGGGAGAGAAGTCTGTTGAACAGTGATTCATGCTCCTGGCCTGGAGCAAATTCTTCCCCTCTGCACTACACCACCTCAGAGGGACAGGGTAAAGGGCTCCGGGCAGAAATACTTGTACTTCGGCAGCAGCAGAGAGGCAGTCATCTTCTCTTCTCTTCTCCACCTTGCTAGAGCATTCAGACCCTCTCCTGTCTGTCCCCCCACACCATCCTCCCCAATTCATCAAGTGGGAAGATGGGACTGCAGGAGGCAGGGGCAGGTGTAAACAGGGACCGGGGAAGCACACAGCAGATATGGCAGAATGCCAACATCTTCTGCTTCTATTGCACATCCTGGCTCAGATCCCCTGCCCTGAGTAATGGGCTACAAAATGAAATGCTTTTCAAATTCACACAAAGAACCTATAGTTCTTCATGAAGGGAAGGTGTGTTGTTGTGTGGTTTGCTCTGGAATATATATACATACATATTTTAAGTTATTCCATGACGGGGACAAGGCAAAGATTATGCCTCTTTTAAAAAGCATATGAGATTTGGACATCTTGGGGCCCTGGGCCTCTCCCTGCCAAGTTCTAAAGACCAAGAATAACCCTTTCCCCAGTCAGCAGATCTTCTGCATAAGATGGAAGAGGCAGCAATGTCCACAAACCACACCAGAGCCCCCAACTGTCATGCTTCTGAGCCACTCAGGGGTGACCTCTTTTCCAAACACCTGGAGAATCTGACAAATGACCCTAGAAAGAAACCTTTTACACTGTTGTTTCTCCATAAAGTGGCAGCTGTTAAGTCCCCTCAAGTAAAACCTTTAAGTGTTTGTTTCTCATTATTCTCATTACCAATAGAGTGGGACAGGAATAAGTAGATTAACTGACTTTAGAGACAGAATAAGTCCCTCTAAAAAATGGTGGGAGCAGGGGAGAGGACTGATTTTGATTTGGCAAAGCTGCAAATCTTTCACCTTCATTGGCTGGAACAAAGCTGGTGGGTGAAGACAAACCTAACTGAGCCAATGGCAAGAATTGCAGGCTATGAAAGACAACAGGTCAAACACAGAACTGTATAAATTGTGGCACTATAAAGATGAGAAGGCAGGTCCGTGATACCAGCTGGGAGCAAGCCGTGGGAGCATCGCTTCCAGAAATTATATCTGTCCTGTAGTAAGTGGTAGCATCCAGGTAAATCAGAATAATTCTCCTTCCTCCTCTTCTCAACAAATTCTGAGTTTCTCATTTAAATAACTATGTACACACACATAAAAGCCTGGTCTCTCTTTTACATGAGGGTCTTTCACTTGAGGGTCCTACAATGGCTTTAGAGAGTTGGTTCCAGTTGCCTTTTTGGAGATTTACTGCTTGGGACCAAACCTGCAAGGAGAAGAAATGACTGAATAATATAAGAGGAAAAGCTTTAAGATGAAAGCATCCCACTGTTTAAGGGATTGAGTCTTAATATAAATAACAAACACGCAACTCCCTCACAGGCCTTTGGTACCCCAGCAAACTGAGAATTGGGCTGGGACCCATTACGTCAATTCTACCCTGTGCCTGGCTACTCTGTCAGTCAGGGGGCCACATGTCCACTAGCAACCCTGGGAACACAGCTCCATACCTCCCTCTGATAAGGATAGTTTCTCAAGTTCAGCTTCAAGTTCAGCATCCGAGATCCTAGGGCTAGGCACACTGTTGGTATAAAACGTCTCGTGGGGGTTGTCGGGCAGATCCAAAGGTTCTTTGGTGGTGTCCTGAAGGAGGAGGTCCAATTCCACCTCCAGTTCCTCACTGTCAAAATCTGGAAAGAAAAGACAACATAAGGACACATAAACTCCAGGGAGGAAACACGTTAAAGAGTCAGCTTTACAAAGATGCTCAGGCCTCCTTGCAGGTTAAAAAAATGTGAGTTTCATGAGGTCACCGGAAATGGAGGGTACCTTCAAACAGATATTCTTTTCTCATACACAGTTCTAAGTCATCAAGGAGGTATATTTTGCTAACCCCATGAAACTGACCTTGCTCTCCCTTGCCCTTGAAGAAGGATCTTCCAATGAGAAGCCTATGAATAAGGAACATTGGAGCACAGAAGGGTCGTTAATACTGCCCATCAAAGAGGAAGTGGCAATTCCCTATAACTATTCCTTGTGTAAGCCCCAGAGAAAGGGTCAGGTAGGAGAACCATGCCTGCACCAGGAAAAGCAAATCCATGATCAAACCTATTACCATACGAAGGAACTGAAGTCCTCTTAAAAAGGAAAGGAAAGAAATATCAGCTTGCCAACCTACCTAGGCCATTGGTCACCCCACCAGCCAGAGTCTGAGAAACTTCATCCTGGGTGTCACATAGCTGTAAGAGAAAAGAACAAGGCCTTGAACTGTGCATGGTGTCACTGAGCATCTCAAAGTCTTTGGTGGAAAATGCCTCAGGTTACAAAGAAACACTGCCACATTTGAGAATCAAGTAAAGCTTCCTCAAGTTCACAAGGTAAAAAGTCAAGTACAGCAAAGTCAAATGTGCCCTCACTAACTTCCTTTTGTATGTGTTCCTCTCTAGCCCCTTTCCATACCTCTTGGATTTGATCTACAAGGCTCTCTGCCTTCTCCACTGTAACATCCTTCATGGAGAGTTTTAGAGCTCCTACCCCAGCCTGGTAGGCATTGAAAACCTAAAGAGAAAGAGTTATCAGTGCAAATGAAGAGCATGTGGCAAAATACAAACAACACTGTTTCATCTCCAAAAGCCAGCTTTGTTTTTTTGCAACCTACACTAGATTCACCCACACCTACTGGGGCCCAAATTTCCCAACAGGAATGGCCAAGGCAACTCTAGCTACATCCTGAAAGAACCCAGGCCCCCTCCAAGCAGCACTTAGCCAACAGCAAAGACACAGTGGAGGGGATGAGCAGTGTGTGCTATGGGGACTAGCCAAGTACTGGAGCAAAGGGGGAATGGCTACCATCTGGTCTGTCTGGGAGGCGTAGATCCGGTCCAGGATGCCTTGAACAGTGTCCAGCTTGGCATGGAGGGCCTCGATGCGCTTCTCCGTCCGTTGCTTGGCCTTGAGAGACCTCAGTGCCTAAGGGGGCAAGGAAATTCAGGTCAGGGTCAGACTGAGCAGGCAAAAGGGTGAGAGGAAGACAGCCCTTCCCAGATGATAAGATTATCCCAGGCCTTCTTCCTTCTCATTTGAAAATAAGCTGTGGTACCTGTAGACTCTGTTCTCCTTCCAGCTCCTAGCAGGTTGCTCTCTGAACTCTTGCGCACCTCTCGCTGCCAGCCCAGGACAGAACTAGGCAGCTGGAGGGGAAAAGAGAGAACTTACCAGTTGTTTCTTTCCTGCTCCGCATGCTCGGCGGGCTTCTTCTTTACACCTATGAAACAAAGGGACAAATCAAAATGATTGTGCCACAGGATAGGGGTGGCAGGGTCCTGAAGAGTCCCAAGACTTAATTAATGTAGTTTCAAATCTGAATATCAAATCCATTCTGCCTAATGGCAAAAAAAAAATGGTGCCCAACAACCCACTGCCAAACTCCAGCAGGTCAAGATCCGAGCCTGAGCATCTGCACGTGGAAAAGGCAAACTGACTAAGGACAAACTTTTCCAACCCACAGGGAGAGAGAACATGGAAACATGGCACCTTAAAAACATATTCCCATTCTGGGAGCTGGGAAGTAGGAAATGAATTCCTAACATCACCAATAACCTTGGATATATCCCTTTGTGTTCCCAAAATGTTGGGTTCTCACATGTAAGACAAAGTGAACAAGTAAATTCTAATTCAATTATCAATATATTCTACTTTTCAGAGATGTGTTCATGTGACTTTACCAGGGACACCTTGTACAGTCATCCAAGGGGAAGAGGCTGACACCCTCAAAAAGCTCTGTGAAGGCAGGGGTTTGTCTCGTTCACTACTGTGTCTCCAGTGCGTGAGACAATACCTGGCTCAACAAATATTGGTTAATGGATATAGGCATGGAAGAACATAAAACATAATGTAATAATCTTTGGGGGTAAAAAAAAAAATTAAGGCTCATTTTTTTCTCCTTTATGATATTCTGTATTTTCCATTATTTCTGCATAGAAATTAGTACTTCTGTAATTAGTAAAAAAAAAAAAAACAAAAAAAAAACACCTTCTTTTTCCCCCCAAAGAGCCCAGACACCAATGCTTTGCCAGCTCTGAATGCCAGCTGGGGCAGGAAGGGCTCAGCTCAGGGGTAGAAGTTACCTCTCTGCTTCTTGGGATAAGGACTCCACCTTGCACGAGAGGAGCTGCTCACTCTGCATCAGCTGGTATACCCCAACATCTACGTCGTTGACGGGAGAGACCTTGGCATGTGGCCCTCGGGCAAACTTCACAATCTGAGGGACAAGGACAAATTACTGCTTCCCCTACCACAAATGCTGAGAAAATCCCAAGCAGAAATGCTAGTGGGCATGTTAGTATACATGTAATAAATCATTGGTGAGGCAATGAATGAACAAATGAATTTCCATACCTTTTCTCCATTCTGCTCGAGGACTGTGACTCTCTTCTCTTTCTGCAGCTGCAGCAACACCAAGTAGAAGGTCCTCTCGTCTGGGCAGGAGCTAGCACAGAGGGTGCTCAGCTCTGACAGGGCCACCACTGGGTGGGAGGAGAGAGGGGAATTCTGATACAGACGATACACCTCTTCAGCCTTTTCCTGCAAGAAAAAGCAAAATGTTCTTACATGCCCTGATCGCAGCCCATGGGACCCAATGAACTTGACTTCCATGCTTCAAAAACACAATTACACAAGGCAAGAGCAGGGGAACAGCAACCCAGTCTTCCTTTAAAGCAGCTAGCTTTTATTTTTCCCCCTTCTTTAAAGGACAAAGGATTTGTGTTTTTTTAAAACTTGAAGGAAAGTTTGGTGAATACGTTTGAAATCAAGTACATGAAATATTGGGAGCAAACTCCTGTTTGCACTTCATGTGGGACTTTATGTTTCTGCCTCTCCCTGCCCCAAACTTCCCCAAGGAAGAAGGAAGCAATGCGGTGTGCTGGAATAAACCATGAACTAGAGTTCAGAACTGATTTCCAGCCCAGCCAGTATACCCTTGGACTGGTCACTATCTCTCTGGCCCTCAGGATTCCTCTCACAAATTGAAGAGGTTGGATGAGATGATATCTAAATTACTCTTCCAATTCCAGTCTCTCTATTTTAAATCCAACTGGCAATACTGCACACAAGAACATTACTGAGTCCATAAAGAGTCTCAAAAGGTGGAAGAGGAATATTGTGAGAAGTTCAAGAAATACCTACTGACCTATCTATGGTGTGCTATGAAAATACAGGGAATGCCTGAGAGTTCAGAAGTTTCTTGGAAAAAAAATGGTTGCTGAGCAGAATTCTGAAAGGTGAGTAAATTACTAGGTGAAGACTTGTAAGAAGGGTGTCTCAGGAAGAGGGGACAAGCATGAGCAATGGCATCGAAGCATGAATCAATATCTGCAGAAGGGAAGGAGAGAGACAGTTAAAGCACTTCTTTATCATTAAAGTGTAATAACTTATATATTATCCTTTATTCTTCAGATGATGGTAGTGCAGTGCAGTGAATTACTTAATATTGCGCTTCTTGCCAAGTATGGTCTTATGACTCCCACAAAATGACTGGGTGGGACTATGCAAATAAGGTGCTTGTGGCTCACCAAAGGGATTGGACAGCTTGTTAATAATGCAAATAAGGTTCATGGAACCCTCAGGACATGGGACCATGCAAATAAGGTGTATGGAACCCTAAATGAGGGGACTGGTCAGTTTGCCATCCTGCTAGGCTTAAAGGAAGCCAATCCCAGAGGGTGGGAGGGGGGACTTCACTACCATCAAGAAGAAGAAGAGCCAGGAGTGGAGCATGTCTTTTGAACCCAGGGTCCCTGCGCCAAGAACTTCCTAGACCCAGGAGACAGGGAGAGCTATAACACTGGAGATGGCACAAGACGGTGAGAAGCAGAGGCCAGCATAGTAGAACCAGGAGGCCAGCACAGTAGCAGAACCAGGAGACCAACACTAGATGGCAGAAAACAGGTGACCGGTGTAGTGGGCTTCCCTGCCCACAGAGCAAGAGGGCTGACAGCCTTCAGGCAGGAGGCTTCCTGGCAGATGGGGTGACTCTGGGCACTTAAAGAGTTAAAGAGCTTTGTAGCACTTCACCAAGCAGGGCAGAGGCCAGGCCCCAGCGGGGCCAAGGGCCGAGGGAGGAGCCCATCCTGAGGGAGCCAAGAGAGCTGTCTTGCACTGAAGAAGGGAGATTGCCTACATGCTTCCTGATCCTGATCGGGAATTGTAGCCTGTTGATCCCAATCCCAAGTTGTAACCTGTTACTTCCCTAATAAACCCTATAACTGTGACTATAATCTGTGAGTTCTGTGTAGCTACTGCAACGTATTATTGAACCCAGCAGAGATGCAGAGTGTGCTGTGGGGGGAGGGATGGCTGGTGTCAGAATTGGTAAAAAGGTTGGAGAGAGGAGGTATGTCTGACCTCCACCTCACAGGGATCATCAGCTTTGGACTGATGCTGATGGTGATTCTCCTCCAACCTCCCGAAGTTAGAGGACCTCTGACGCCACGCTGCCATTTTTACAGGTAGTCACTGAAGGGGAATGACATGGCTAGATTAACAAAAATCTAGTTGAAAACTGGGAAAGGATGGATTGTAGAGAGTTAGGATTAGGGGCAGGGAGATCATTTATGCAAAAGAATATGAGGGGCTGAACTAGGGTGATGATAATAGGGACAGAGAAGGGATAGATTCAAACAAAATGTAGAAGATAAAACTAACAGTACATGGTAACTAGGTATGGGTTGAAGGGGAAAGGAGTCAAGGATGACTCCTAGGTTCTGGCTTAAGTGACCAGGTGGAGGTGATGCTATTAATTATTATCAAGAATACAGGAGGAAAAGCCTATTTTAAAGGAAAGGCAAAACATTCCATTTTGGACATGTTGGTTCGAGATACCAAGGACATCCAAGAAGACACATACAACAGATAAATGGATTACAAATTGGAAACTCAAAGGAAACATCAGAACAAGAGATATAAATCTGGAAGTCCTCAGCATATAGATGGTAATTAAAATCACAAGAGTAAATGTGCTTACCCAAGGAAATTAAGAGAGGAAAGAAATAAGCTTAAGGCACACTAACGTTTAAAAGGTGAAGAAACCAACAGAAGAGACCCAGAAGGATTGCTTAGAGAGAACTAAGCAATGGAATGTCAGAAAGTCAAGGGAATGTGAAATTTTAAAAAGCAAGTGGCCAATAGTGTTAAAGGCAGCAAAAGAGTCTAATAAGATAGAGACTAAAGTTTTCATTAGATTTGATTGCCCCATCAGAAAATAACACTATAAAGCTACTGTAGTAACAGTGTGGTTACCACTTATAAACACATTAATGGTATATAACATTAATAAATGGTGTTAAGACAACTGGCTATCCATTTGGAAGAATAAAGTTAGAGCTTTTCCTCCCCACATATACAAAAACAAATACTAGAAGAATTGAAATTTAAACTAAAACAATAGAATTATAAAGTAATTTGAAGAAGATATAAAAGAATATCTGAATGACGTTGAAGAGATGTCTTTCTAAGCAAGACCAGAAATTCAGTAGCCATAAACGAAATATCTGAGTGATCTAACTACAAAAAAATGAAAACTCCTATGTCAAAAGACATCACAAATAAAAAAAATCAAACCACATAGTGGGTGAACACCCATGCTCATTGCAGCATTATTCACAACTGCCAAAAGATGGAAACAACCTAAATGCCCATCAACCGATGAATGAGTAAACAAACTATGGTGCCTACACACGATGGAATATTAGGCAACAATAAAGAACAACGATGAATTTGCAAAACATCTCACATGGATGAATCCGGAGGGCGTTATGCTGAGTGAAATAAGTCAATCACAAAAGGACAAATAATGTATGAGATCAAAATTATAAAAACTCATGAAAAGGTTTACACACAAAAAGAAACAATCTTTGATGGTTACCAGGGAGGGGAGGGGTAGGTGTGGAAAAACACTAAATAGACAATAGGTAAGTGGTAATTTTGGTGAAGGGTAACACAGTACATACTACTGGGGAAGTCAGCACAACTGGACCAAGGCAAAGTCATGGAAGCTTCGTAGACACATCCAAACTCCTTGAGGGACTGAATTATTGGGCTGAGGGCTGGGGACCATGGTCTTGGGGGACATCTAGCTCAACTGGCATAACATAGTTTATAAAGAAAATGTTCTACATCCTACTTCAGTGAGTAGTGTCTGGGGTCTTAAAAGCTTGTGAGCCATCTAAGATACTCCACTGGTCTCACCCCTTCAGGAGCAAGGGAAAATGAAGAAAACCAAAGACAGAAGGGAAAGATTAGTCCAAAGGACTAATGGACCACAACTACCACAGCTTCCACCAGACTGAGTCCAGCACAAGATGGTGCCCAGCTACCACCACCGACTGCTCTGACAGGGATCACAACAGAGGGTCCCGAAAAGAGCTGGAGAAAAATGTAGAGCAAAATTCTAACTCAGAAAAGAAGACCAGACTTACTGGTCTGACAGAAACTGGAGAAACCCCGAGAGTATGGCCCCTGGATACCCTTTAACTCATTACTGAAGTCACTCCTGAGGTTCACCCTTCAGCCAAAGATTAGACAACCCCATAAAACAAAACAAGACTAAATGGGCACACCAGCCCAGGGGGAAGGATGAGAAGGCAGGAGGGGACAGGAAAGGTTGTAATGGGGAACCCAAGGTTGAGAAGGGCAGAGTGTTGACATGTCGTGGGGTTGGCAACCAGTATCACAAAACAATATATGCACTAATTATTTAATGAGAAACTAATTTGCTCTGTAAACCTTCATCTAAAGCACAATAATAAAATTCCCTCCAAAAAAAATAACAAAAACAACATACTGGGAAACAATATTTACATCCCTAGCCCCGGTGGCACAGTGGTTAAGAGCTCAGCTGCTAACCAGAAGGTCGGCAGTTCGAATCTACCAGCTGCACCTTGGAAACCCTATGGGGCAGTTCTACTCTGTCCTATAGGGTTGCTATGAGTTGGAATCGACTCGTTGGCAATGAATTTGGTTTTTTTTGGTTAATACTAAATACATTATATGTATCTCTAATACACAAAGAACACCTACAAATCAACATAAAAGATAAACAACCCAATATAAAAACAGGCAAAGGATATGAATAGGCAATTTGCAGGAGGGGATATGTAAATGACTGGTAGATAGGTAAACAGATGCTCAACTCACAAGTAGGAAGTATCTTTTTTTTGTTGTTCATCAAATAGGCGAAAGTTTAAAAGACCGATGTCATCCAGTGCTGGCGATGATTTGCGGAGACTGAACACTTACTTTCATGTAGTCTTGATGAAAGTGTAAATTAGTACAAACTTCTTGAAAAGTTAATTTGGCAATTTCTGTTAAAATTTAAAACTCATACTTATTTCACATACGTACTTGTAGTAGAAGTACACAGATATGCACAAGGCTGTTCAAAGTAGCATGTTTTTGTAATCAAAATTGGAATGACTTAAATGTTCCTCAGTGGGTAACTCTTGAATGAACTGTGGCATATCTAAAGAAAATTATGCAGCCATCAAAAAAGAATGAAGTGATCTATATGTAGAGACCTGGAAAGATGTCCGTGATATATTAAAATAGGAAAAAAAACAGGTTGCAGACCAATAGGTAAAATAAGATTCTATTATTGGAAAAAAACAGAGTGTATGTATAAACATATGTATGTATCTGAGTGTATGGAACTCTGGTGGCACAGTGGTTAAGAGCTCAGCTGCTAACCAAAAGGTCAGCGGTTCGAATCCACTAGCCGCTCCTTGGAAACCCTAGGGGGCAGTTCTACTCTGTCCTACAGGGTCACTATAAGTTGGAATCGACTCAACAGCAACAGGTTTGATTTTTTGAATGTATGTGTATATTTAGTCACTCATTCAACAAATATTTATTAACTGTCTACTGTGTACCAGACACTGTTGCCAGGGTCCCACAGTCCATGGAACTTCTTTCTAGTTGGAGAGACAGGTAATAAACAAGTAAATAAGATTTTCAGGCAGTACTATGCTAACAAGAAAATAAAATGGAAAGTAACATAAAAGAATGTGACAGAGTCAACAAGAAAAAGATATGTCTCTGAACAGGGGAAAAAAAATGGGAAAGGAACATACTCGAAGAAATAAAAATGGAATCAACAGAAAGGAAACTTTCATTTCTTTGTATAACTTTTTTCAATAGCAAAATCATGGGCAATTTTTACTTTTTTTTGTATTTTTCAGTATTTTTTCAAATGAAGTAAAAAGTTACTGGCTGTTTTCAATTTACTGCTAAGCAGGCTTTCTTCTTTTTATAAAAATTTCTAGATAGGACCCCTTAGTTTCACAAATGTAAACAAGTCCCCAGCCCAAGAGAAAACAGTGAAGTCACTATATATTTGAATGAAGATTTTACCAAGGAAATGTTAAGTATTCTGTTTAGTGATGTAAACTGGATACATATTTAACAGTACTATGCATTCCGTAGAAGACAGGCCTGGGGATCTGCTTCTGTTAAGATTACAGGCAAGAAAACCCTACAGAACAGTTCTACTCTTTAACACATGGGGTCACCATGAGTCGGAATCGATTCAACTGCAGCTAATAACCACGATATGCTCCTGCAGAGCTAGAAGTAATTTTCTATCTAAATAGGATTGACTAAATTGCTCTCAAAAATTATTGTTGGTTCTTGGAAGATGTATATAATTCCCCTCAATCCCCTGCTCTCCCATCCCAGCATTTGCTCTCAAAAGATGACGAGCCAAAACCACATGTGTGGGGGGTAAACGGGTCTGACTTCCCCATTAGTCTAGAATAGAGAACACAGAAGGGAAGACTGCCAAGAGGAACTGAGCTTGGCCCAGGACCACCCAAACCATCCTGTAGTCTCTTGTGGGGACCTTGACTAGGCCCTGGAATCAGGACATGGGGCGGGGGGGTGGTCACAGCAGGGGGAAGTGGGGAGACGGGGTGGGGGGGCTCCTGTGAAGAAAATGTGTGCCGCTCAGTCAAAAGTCCTAGGGAATAAGGAGAGATTTATAGATTTTAGAGACCACCTCCTTAACCTGACGCAGAAAGGATGGGGGGCAGGGGTTGCTGAGGTGAAGAGAAACTCAGGAGATTCTCTTGGGGTGCGGGGTGGGGACTTTGAGCTCGAGCCTTGAGGTTGGGCCATGAGTTTTAAAAGCAACTACTGCCTCAGTATACTTGTTACTCCATGTTCAGTCAACTTTTATAAACACACACAAATTTAAAGGTTGCTATAACCTTGTCCATAACAGTTGTGGTGGAGTGGTGGGGGCTGAAAGAAGTCGGTAGTGGGTCACAGAGTGGGTGGGAGGTGAGGAAGTGGTGATAAGGCATGAGATCACACTTAGCAAAGCTTGGCTGAGAAGGAGATAGGCAGAGTTGTAACTAGACAAGAGCCCAGGTTACACAAAGGAGTAATTGTGTGATGGGAAAAACTTGGATGGGTTCAGAGGCTAAAGAAGGAGAGAGGAGGGAGAAAGAATATACATGGAGAGATAAAGAGAGAGGGAGCTGGAATATATAGATCAAGGGGCTAACTGATAGGACAAGGGGATAAGATGGGTAAGGACAGGCTCACAAGCACAGGTGGAATAGGACACTTCATTCTCTGAGCTTGGGGAGAAAGAAGGGCTCAGATGAGGTTAAATTTAAGGTGGAGGGACAGAAAACTGAAGGTGTTCACCAAGGAGATTCTACCTTCTCAGTGAAGTCAGGGGCAAAGTTGTCTACAGAGAGTAGAGAAGGTGGAGAATGGAAGAGGTATCAACGGGAGTGGGAGAGAAAATGGGCTGCAGAGTGCTCTGAGGGCCCTCCTAAAGCTGGGTACCATGAATGTGGCCCTAGGCTGGGTTGTGGCCAATTTTCTCCAGTAGGGACTGCAGACTGTATGGCTGATATAAGCCTCTGGATTTGCTGGGCATCTCTTAGTGTGGACCAAGAGTGATGCAAAGTTGCTGAGGGTATTGATGAAGGTCACATGATCTAGGTTGAGCATGGAAGGCAGGACAGAAGGAAGATGGCTGACCAGGGGAGCCTGAAGGGGTCAAGGCCATGGTCATCTCTTCCAGACAGAAGAGTCAGGGGCAGTGAGAGGGAGTGGAAGTAAGGCCGTCAGTGAGCTGGAGTGGGAGAGAGTTAGAGTCAGACAGGAGGAAATCGGCACCTAATTTTCCGATTTAGGGGACAGCAAAGTCCAAAGTTACAAAGTCCTTAGAAATTCTGAGTAATTCTTGTCAGTAAACTACAGAAGGCAAAGCATTTTCTAAACTTTAGCTTATTATTAATTCATACAAATACTAGAAAATAGTCAACCGTATGTCCTGACAATTCCTAGACAAGAGATTACCCTTGAAATGTAAAAGTCCAACTAACAAATAAACAGTGCTTACAGTATAGGGGAGGTCTGTATAATTCAGATAAACTCAGTTATCAGCTGTCACTATGTAAAAAAGATACATTCTTTCTCTAAAAAGACATACAAGGAATGTGAAGGATCCTGTCATCACCAGATGACACCCAGACTTCTCCCTTCTAAGTACCCACCTTAAGCAGCTCCACAGCCACAAGTACCTCCTCAACAGGAACCTTATTGTCCCCCAGCATGTTAGAAAGAGTCCACTTGAGGGGCTTCAGCAGGAAGACCCCGACTCCCCAGGAGATCCAGCTGCTGTCTACACTGGCCATGAAGTCTGACTCCCGCTGTAGTTCCCCTCGACTGCAGGGATGGAAAAAGAGGGCGTGTCAGCAACACTGACTGTGTAACGTTTCATCCCAGTCCCCACCTCATCCCCTCACCCCAAGAGAGGAATCTCATTATCATCATCATGTTGTGGTGTGCCATCCAGTCGATTCCAACTCACAGTGACTTTATATGACAGAGCAGAACTGCCTCACAGGGTTTTCTTGGCTGCGATCTTTACTGAAACAGATCACCAGGTCTTTTCTCTTGTGGAGTACCTGGTGGCTTCAAACTGCTGACCCCTTGGTTAGCAGCCGAGCACTTAACCACTGCACTGCCAGGGCTCCTTATCATTATCATAACTACCACTTAGAATCAACTGGACGGCAAAGGGCTGTGCCAGTTACTGTGTGTAGCACTGTTTATACTCTGATTCCAAGCCTCACAACAACTCTGCAAGATAAATGGTGTTACTGCCATTTGAATTAATGAGAAAACTGAGGGACTGAGAAGTGATTTGCCCAAGGCAAGGAGGCCGAATCTAAACTAGGATCTGTCTGGCTCCAATGTGCAAGCTCTAGTAAGATGAGAGAGGCAAGGGAGGGTATAGGACCTGTGTTGAGATTTCCTTTCACAAATGGAGCTTAAAACAATAAAATGAAAATAACAGTAATGGATTGGCTCCAAGTGCAAGACATTGGGAAGAATACAAGGATGTTTGTACCCAAACCTGTTGCTGTGGAGTCGATTCCAACTCATAGCAACCGTATAGAGGAAGGGTTTTCTGCTCTTTCTAAGATAGGGTGACAATGAGAAGTAAGCATTTTGTGGTACTGGTAATAATAACAGCAAGTAAGTTTTCTGAATACTTACAATGGACCAGGCACTATGCTAAGGGCTATATAAGGAATATCTCTTCAAATCTTCACAATAAACTTCACAATAAACCTCAGTGCAAGTATCACTGCCATTTCTAATTGGTTAAACTTAAGCTTAAAGAAGTCACATAATTTTCCCACAGTCACATATTTAGCAAGTGGCAGAGCCAGGCTTTGAGCCCAGGCTGTTTGGTTCCTGATGCTATGCTGCTTCCACGGAGAAATATCTCCCTCAGAAATTTTTCAAGTGCCAGATACAGTCAAGCACCAAGAAGCTTCAGTGAGCGCCAGCAGTTAGGAGAGGGGAACTCATGGTATTAAAGCCCTCTGGATCAGTGTTAATAAGTAATCTTCCTGCTGCGACAAGGAAGCCTGGACTGGCTTGTCCGTCACTGACTTTTCAGCCGCTATCTCCTCTGCTCCCCACTTCAGGCATGAACTAAAACTTTCTCCACAGTACACCTTCTTAGAAAAGAGAGATTTCAGAAAAAGGCTTGTCACACCAATATCAACCAATGGAAAAAAAACCAAAGCTGTTGCATTTATTCTGACTCACAGTGACCCTATAGGACAGAGTAGAACTGCCCCCATAGGGTTTCTAAGGCTGTAATCTTTACAGAAGGAGACAGCCACATCTTTCTCCCAGGGAGCGGCTGGTGGGTTTGAACCACCAACCTTTCGGTTTGCAGCCAAGCATTTAACCACTGTGCCACCAGGGCTCCTTAACCAATGGAAAGGTACAGGGAATAAAAGTAGGGAAGAAAAAAGAGAGCTCTTACTAAAAAAGAGCAGCAAGTTAATCAAAACAACAAGAAACATCAAAAACCTTTTCATTCACTGAGCAAGGCACCATGCTAGGCTGGCTTCAGTAGGAAATATAGTGTCAAGTGCAAATGATTTGGAAACAGAAGCCCAGGGGTCAAGTCTTATTATCACCTCTAATTAGCTGTGTAACCCTGGTAAGTCATTTGATCTCTCTGAAGCTCGGTTTACTCTTCTGTCTTTTGAGGATAACACTATCATCTCACCCACAGGACTACTGAAAGGATCAGATGAAATGGTGTATGCAAATTACCTGCATACTGTGAAGTGCTGTACATCCATTAGATATCGATGTTACCTCCTCAGGAAAGCTCCCAAACATTGCACCTGTTGCACACGTATCACCTAAAGGACCTTCTGAGGGCACCAAGATACTCAGTAAAGCATTCACCCTCATCATGTCCTCTCTGCTCCAAACAACTTGTGTCAAGGACAAGCCAGGATAGGCCAGACATATACCTGTGCCGGGGAGTTGTTGCCAAGATCCCTACAAGCTTCTTCCCCATGACTGTCCTCTCCTTAGCTCTGATCCTCCTTGGTTTAATAAATCCTATCTCACAGACCTTCTGTTCCAGGAGTAATTCAGATTTGGAGGCCCCCTAAGAAATAACTACATAACGGGACTCCAGGTTAGACAAATCTTTGTCACCTGTGCCAGACTGGCTTCTCCTGTCACCATCGGGATCCCACCTAATCGGACTATCAGCTCTCAAATTTCCCCCCATACCCTCTTTCTCTCTCCCCACAAGCACACCGAACCCAGGCTTCTTTTCTTCCTCATCTACTGAATAAACACTGAACGCCTACTCTGTGCCAGACCCTTGGCTGGGCACGGTGTGCTGTCAGTGAACAGGACCCTTTCCCTGCCCTCAGGGAGAGGCCCCGCCCCCGCCCCGAACCCGGCCCCGGCCCGCCCCTCACCGCAGCAGGTCCTGCAGCACCGTGGCCAGCCCCAGCGGGACGCTGCCCTTGCGCTGAAAGGCCTCCTGCAAGTCTCGCAGACGCAGGCGCACCACCCCCTGGCGGCGGCTGTAGCTCAGCACCAACGGCGCCCAGAAGCCCATCTTGCTGTCCCAGTCGGTGCTGTTCACCTCGCGACTCCTTTTGAAGGCGGAGAACAGGAAGGACATGCGCTCCTCATCCTCCTCCCACTCGGGGGGCAGTAGGCCCGCCGGGTCTCCCCCGGCCGGGGCCTCGGCCTCCCGCTCCGGGGACCACATCGAAACCTCAGCCCCGCCAAGGTTCCAAACACAACCCCAGCCCTGGCTCCCTTGCGCCCTAGTTCCTTCCCGGCTTCCGTTGCTTGATCACCTCCTTGTCTGTCATCACGTCACCGCCGCCCACGGCGTGACATAAGTCCTACACATCCTCATTGCGCATGCGTCGCGCCGCCCTGCTTTCGCCAGGAGGCAGGATGAGGACATTATTTTCAGAGAGACACAGAGCGCTTGCGCTGACCTCTCCTCCCGAAGTCTTTGTAAGGAAAGAAAGATTTCGCGCGTGCGCGGGTGGTGGATGTGCTTTTCGCCAAGTTAAGAATCATAGAGTTTGGTGAAGCAATGTAGAGAGGCAAAAATGATGCCACTATCTTGTAGTGGTGATTTCAGATAGTGGATTGCAGAAGTCCCCGCTAAGGGGCGTCAGGACCGCCTGCATGGATCTCGAGGCTCCTATCGTGGTTTACCAGCAGTTCTTCAGACATTTAAGCTTCCAAATATGCCTTCTACGATAATGTCATCAGATAAACAACTGCAGGTCACTTAAGCTCTGTGATGGTGTATACACTGATTTTGAGAGATATATAAGCTTCCATTGGAGCCCTGGTGGTGCAGTGGTTAAGATCTATGGCTGCTTACCAAAAGATCGGCAGTTCGAATCCCCCAGCCGGTCCTTGGAAACCCTATGGGGCAGTTCTCCTCCGTCCTGTTGGGTGGCTATGAGTCGAAATCGACTGGAAGGCAATGGGTTTGGGTTTTTTGTTTTCTTTTATGTAAGTTTCCACTACCCTTGCTCCCTACCTCTTGTCTTTTTCCTTCTTGATATCAATATCCTGTTGTGTGCCGTCCAGTCGATTCCCACTCATAGCGACCCTATAGGACAGAGTAGAAGCACCTCATAGGGTTTCCCAGGCTGTAATCTTTACAGGGTCGCTTTGAGTCAGAATCGACTGGATGGCAACGGGGTTTAACAGGAGCAGATCGCCACGGCTGAGCCGCTGGTGGATTCCAACCTCTGACCTTTTGGTTAGCACCCAGCGCTTAACCATTGGCACCGGAGCTCCTTATCAATATTCTAGATCCTTGAAAGTCTAGCTAAATTCAGACTCTTGCCTTGAAACCTTCTCTGAGTATCTTGACTCATTGTTGATCTCTTTCATGGACTACACAATTTAATTTTTACTATTCTGTCCCGTGTTCCTTCCCTAGTTCTCTGAGGGCAGGTACAATGACTGAAATTTCTTGCTATGACACATAAACAAACAAAAAACCCAAAAAACAAAAACAGTTGCCATCAAGTCAATTCCATCTCATGTTGACCCCAGGTGTGTCAGAGTAGTGCTGCACTCCACAGAGTTTTCATGGCTGTGACCTTCTGGAAGCAGATTTCCAGGCCTTTCTTCCAAGGTGCCTCTCAGTGGGCTATAACAACCAACCTTTTGGTTAGTAGCCTACCACTTAACCATTTGTACCACCCAGAGATACATAGGAGGTGCTGAATAAATATTCCACAAACTGAAACGTGGATAACTTGACCCTTGCTCTTCTAATATCTTAGAATTTGTTAAAATGAGAGCTCATATGTATAAGCTTCTCACAAAGGATCTTACTAGCAATGAATATGCCTAGTATATTGAAAATAAATTGGTTTTCTTTTAAAATTGAATCATTTAAAATGTGAAAGGAGTTTCCTGTTTAATGGAACTAAGCAACAATCACCAGACTTGAATATGATGAATCTGGCCTCTGCCACTCACTGGCTGTGTGACCTGGGCCCAGCACCTAACTTCTCTGAACCCATTTCCTCTTATGTAAAATGGTATTTCCTAATAAGGTTGTTTGGAGGAAATGTTATAATGTGTGTAAATAACCTAGCATATAGTATAATAGGAATTATCACTGAATGGCAGGGTGGAACTGTCAGGAAGAATCTTAAGCATTTTGAAGGAGGGAGGAATATGATTGGTTATAAGAATAGTAAGCTTCAACTGACATCTATGTATTGTGCTACATTCTACCAAGCACTTTCAGTCAATATCTCATTTAGTACTCAACAACTCTGTGAGGTGAGTTTTGGTGCTTTCTCCATTTTACATCAAAGAAAGTTGAAACAGCCATTTTTAGTCTGGAGAACATTCAAGAAAAGAAGAATGGTATGTGATGTGAGCAAATAAGTTGTACTTTAAGAAGCATATTTCTGCCATGCCATCATGTCCAATAAAATGACAAGTTGGTTTGTATCCTGAGAGAGGCCGGGCTGTTTTCTGACCTTGCGTCTAATCAAATCAAAGCAGTCCTATTCCTAGGCATTTTCAGGAGAGCAAAGGTATTAACATGAGACTGCCTGCACCTGAGCGGGCCACTCTCCCCTTTTGGAGGCTGGAAGGGCTGTGGGTCTAGTGGAGAATGGGAAAAGAAGTTCTGCTGATCCTGATAGGGACTACTGGGTATATGGCAAGCTTGTTCTTACCTCAGGGCCTCTACCCTTTACCTCCTCTACTCTGCATGACTGGCAAAAGAGCCAAGTCACAGTTTAAAAGTCACCTCTTCAGAGAAGCCTCGTCTGAATGCCCTATCTAAGATAGCCCGCTTGGAATTTTAGAATGAGTGGATCAGTTTGACAATACCTGCTGATTAATTTTAACATTGCAAAAAGAAAGACAACCAAACTTTCCTAAGCTAATACAGTAGGAAGTACACAGAACCACCTATGAAGTGTTGTTGTCAAAAAGTTCAACCTGAATCTGATCAAGCCTCTAGATTAGAAGTACTAGTTTAAGGGGGTTAAAAGAAAAGGAAAAAAAAAAAAAAAAAAAGCAGAAGACCGAGGAACATTTTAAATGAAAACTGAGATTGTAACCAGCAAAATCCAATGTGTGGATCATGATTTACACAATCATAAAAATTCATTTATGAGACAATTTGATAATTTCAATATAAACTGTATATTGACGTTAGTAGAGAATTATTTTGAGGGATAATGATATGGTAGTTATTTTTTTTTAAGTCTTTTTATTTTGAAGATACACCTAAAGTATTTATGAGTGAAACTATATAATATGTGGGATTTGTTTTAAAAGAATCCAGTGGCAGGGGCTTGAGGTGAGGGGAGAGTAGGGAGGTATAAATGAAACCATATTGGCTACATGATAATTATTGATGCTGCTGGTGGGTACTTGGGGGTTCATTATGCTATTCTCTCTTCTCTAATGTATGTTTGAAAATATTCATAATAAAAATTAATAAGTAAAATAAAATATTCCCTCACCCTGTAAGTCTCTTTCCCAGTATCTGTTTCCTTCATGTTGCTCTTCACACTTAGTGATTATTTTCTTTATTTACTTGCTAATTGTCTTTCTCCTCCACCAAATTATAAAGAATCCTGTGTGTTTTATTCAGCATTATATCCCCAGAGTTAAGGGCACAGTGTCTACACATAGGTGCTCAGTAAAAACGTGTAGAATGAAAGAATTTATTGATTTTAATTAATTCCTTAAAATAGTTAATATTGGTAGGGTATTGTTAAATATTTAAGCATCTCCATTTAATATTTGCATTTATCTCCGTTTACATTTATTTTTCTGCAGTCTCTATCATGTCAGATTATATTTTCCAAAGACACTCTTCTTACAATGTGACACTGACACACCTCCATGGAGAGGTGGGGTATATGTTACCTTCCCTTGAACCCAAGCAGATCTTCGTAACTGCCTCAACCAATAGAATGTGACAAAAGTGCCGCTGAGTAACTTCCAAGGCTGGGTCATAAAGGGCAATACGGCTTCTGCCTGCCCTCTCCTCTTCTCTTTCATTCTTTCTCCTTTCTTCCTCTCCTTCTCCTTCTTTCCCTCTCTCTTTTGCGATGCTTGTCTTTGGAACCCAGCCACCATGTTGTGAGGAAGCCCAGGTCACAGATTGAATTGTGTCCCCCCCCCCAAATATCTATCAACTTGGCTAGGTCATGATTCCCAGTATCGTATGATTGTGTACCATTTTGTAATCTGATGTGATTTCCTTATGTGCTGTAAACTCTATCACTATGATGTAATAAGATGGATTAGCGGCAGTTATATAGATGAGGTCTACAAGATTAGGTAGTGTCTTAAGCCAATCTCTTTTGAGATATAAAAGGGAGAAGCAAGCAGAGAGACATGGGAACCTCATACCACCAAGAAAGCAGTGCTGGGAGCAGAGCATGTCCTTTGGACCTGAGATTCCTGCACAGAGAAGCTCCCAGACCCAGGGAAGATTGATTACACAGACCTTCCTCCAGAGCTAACAGAGAAAACAATCCCTTGGAGCTGATACCCTGAATTTGGACTTGTAGCCTACTGGACTGTGAGAGAATAAACTTCTCTTTGTTAAAGCCATCCACGTGTGGTATTTCTGTTATAGCAGCACTAGATGACTAAGACACCACATATAGGTGTTCCAGTTGACAATTCTAACTAAGGTCTCAGCCAATAGGCAGCATCAACCGCCAGATGTATGAGTGAATGAGTCTTCAGATGATTTCAGTCCCCAGCCTTTGAATCTTCCAGCTGAGGCCCCAGACATTGTGGAGCAGAGATAAGCGGTGCCTCACCTGAATTCTTGACCCATAGTCCAATAAATGGTTGTTTTATGCCACCAAGTTTTGTCATTTGTTCTGCAGCCATAGGAACATCTCAGGCGATAACACAGAAATAACAAATATATGCTGCTTATACTGTCATGGGGCAAATCTACTGCAAAAAACCTCTTCAAAGTGTTGAAAAGCAAAGATGTCACCTTGAAGACTAAGGTGTGCCTGACCTAAGTCATGGTGTTTTCAATCACCTCCTATGCATGCGAAAGCTGGACAATGAATAGGGAAAACTGAAGAAGAATTGATGCTTTTGAATTCTGGTGTTGGAGAAGAATATTGAATATACCATGGACTGCTAGAAGAATGAACAAATCTGTCTTGGAAGAAGTACAACCAGAATGCTCCTTTGAAGTAAAGATGGCGAGACTATGTCTCACATACTTTGGACATGTTATCAGGAGGGATCAGTCCCTGGAGAAGGACATCATGCTTGGTAAAGTAGAGGGTCAGTGAAA